ATTTCAGTTTCATTTATTATGTTAGTTTTTTTTTTTTGGTCATATATAAAAATTAACTAATTAATTAATATAATATTATATTGATATAGATGCTTCAAGTAAAATTGTTATACCATCAAGATGAAAACAAACATTTTGCTTTTGAACACTGTTGGCCAATCTTGCAAAATAATATCAGGTGGCAAGATGTAACTCCTACGAACACAGTGAAATCAATGATACATACACCGTTTTTCCCTGATTCCCTTATGGATAACTGCATTTCTCTTTAAGATAACACCAGTCCAAGTGTTGGTAACAATCCAATTGTTAGTGAGGGCAGTGTCTCTGCAAAAGGAAAAAGGCCTATGGGTAGGAAAGCCGCAAAAGAATTATTTCGCAGAAATTAAGTCGTTCAAACTGAAGTTCAAAAAATGAGCATACAATTGGACACATTTAACCAAAACCTTGCTGAAAAGGAAAAGACAAAAGATGAAAGAGAAGAAAAAAGAATTCAAGCACTGCAAGAGCTGAAAGAACTTGAGATGAAAAAAATGACTTTGAGATCAGAAGACAAGAACATGAGATGAAAAATGAAGAACATATGATAATGACTACGGACATTTCTCATTTGGACCCTTAGATGAAAACGTATTACACAATGAGAAAAAATGAGATTTTTGCCAAGTGGTCCTCAAATGTTAGCAGCCCAAATTACTATTTCCCACTGCCTACTGATGAATAATTACGAAATAATGTATTTTTAAATTTTGCAATGTCACTTATTTAGTCTTTATTTGCAATGTCATTTTTTTTTATTTTGTAATGAAATTTCATTTTTTTTTTATTTTTCAATATTTTCTACAACTGAATGTAATATTATTTTTGCAAGGTATAATTTATTAAATATGTAGTGATATGTTTTTGGATGGGGTGAATTATATTTATTTTTTTCCAATTTTTAAATTTTTTAATTTGTTTAGGTGAGAATAATATAAATATATAATTTTTTTTACAAACAGTTAAAAAAAGTTCACAAAAGACGAAAAATAAACAAAAATAAAATCACAAAAAAACTTATATCCAAACAACACCTACAAACTTGGAGAGAAAGTTGGTTGAGATTTGCCAAAATAACAAATGACCATTGAAGCACCATTGCTATAGTTTGGCAAAATAGTACTATTCATTGCTAAATTATAGCAATAGCAATGACATTATAGTAATAACCATTAGAGATGCTCTTAGGCTATGTTTAGAAGGTTCACCAAAAGATAAAATAAATTAAAAAATTAATAAGATAAAATATTGAAAAAATTAGTCTAAGGTCCCTCTCCCATTTTTAGTAATGGAAGAGATTCACAATATTATTTTTTGATGTCTAAGGTCCCTCAACCCACACTCATCTATTTTCTGATGTTCCTGGGCATTCTCGTCTTCGACCCAAACTAGATGAGTTCTTGCCTTAAGCAGTTGGCATAGTTTTCGTGGTGGATGCTTTGGAATTCCTGTCAAACTGTCGAGCAGCGTTGGAGTATGTGTATCATGTAATATGTAATATGTATCCAAACATGCATATGAACACGTTATGAGTCTAACATCTGATGTTTATGTGGAATAGGTACCTTTATGATATTTTGACCAAGGCAAGTGTTGTGAGGAAAAAAATTTCAGTACTTATCCTCTGCAACAAAGTAGATAATGTGACTGCACATACCAAGGAGTTCATATATATATATATATATATATGTTGAAAAACAGAGCTTGTTATTACAATCTAGAAAAAATTATAATTATTACAAATTTCTCTGCATTTTTATGTTGTACTTTTTATGTGTTTTTTATTGAACATGTTATTTTTGTCTACTTTTCTTGGCAACCAAACAAATTTTATGCTTTATGGTTCACTTGAAATCTAGGGAAAATTCAGAAAAAATCTCTAGACTGGAATCTAAAGAATTTCTCTGGCCTTCCTAGAATTTTTCTGGAGAGAAATTCTCTAAAAAGTTGAAAGAATTCTCTATATATATGTATATTGCTTGGATTGATGTTCAACGTAAGTAAAGAAATTTGTGGGTTTGTTAGTAAAGGTTGTATTGTTGGCTTACATATTACACAAAGTCAGAGAAATTCTTTGTGAATAAAGCCAGAGAAATTTGTGAAGTCAGAGAAATTTCCTGGATCAATGTACAATCACCAAGGTCTATTCATAAAAATATAACTCTGCTGCAAATAGAGAGAATTTCTCTGGTATTAATCCAGAGAATTTCTATGATCTATGTGGTTTGGAGAGAATTTCTCCGGTTTTGGACCAAAGAAATTTGTGGATTTGTTAGTAAAGATTGTATTGTTGACTTATATATTACACAAAGTCAGAGAAATTCTTTGTGAATAGAGCCAGAGAAATTTGTGAAGTCAGAGAAATTTCCTAGATCAATGTACAATCACCAAGGTTTGTTCATAAAAATACAACTTAGCTGCAAATAGAGAGAATTTCTCTGGTTTCAATCCAGAGAATTTCTTTGATCTATTTGGTTTGGAGAGAATTTCTCTGGTTTTGGACCAAAGAAATTTGTGGGTTTGTTAGTAAAAATTGTATTGTTGGCTTACATATTATACAAAGCCAGAGAAATTCTTTGTGAATAGAGCCAGAGAAATTTATGAAGCCAAAGAAATTTCCTAGATAGCCACAGAAATTTTATCTCCACAATTTTCTCTGGTTTGCACCCAGAGAATTTCTCTGGGACTGAAATTTCTTTAGATTGATATTAAGGGACCTTAAACATCATAAAAATATTTGATGTCCTTTATGTTATAAAATCTTAATATCAGGGATCTTAAAAAAATTTCTTTAAAATATTATATTCAAATTATAATTATTTTATATTTTCTTCTAAAAATAAAAAAAATAAAAAAATTCAATTCAAATAAAATATTTTAACCGTAAACTAAAATAACTAAAACATCAATTCACAACCAAACAAAAGGCTAATCATATTCATGGCTGCCCAAAGCTAGGAAGGCGGAAAATGTTCCGTTGATTGACAACAGCAACAACAACCACAAAAAAAATAAAAATAAAAATCCAAGAAAAATATTTGGGAGTACTAATTAGTGCTTCCACTAATTAGGCGGTAGTGGGTCTCGCCATTAATGATGTGATGTTTTGGTCTTGAAATTGTGTTTTTTTTTTTAATACATTAATACTATTAGTGATGATATTTTTAATGAGATGAATCATTATTAAAAATCCAATTACATATAGTTCTGATGTGACAGCTCTGTCTGTCTGTCTCTCTCTCTCTCCACTCCACTCATACAGAAGACGAGCTTGACCAAATTAAATAATGGCGTGCCTACTACGCATATCACAAACCAAACCAAAATAATTTGAAAAAAAAAAAATTGTAGACAAAATAAATTCAAAATGACGTGTATTTGTGAAATTCTGAATATAAACGTTAAGGCTCTATTTAGTTTAATTTTTGAATCATAACTTAAATTTTAAATTGTATTTTAAGTTTTGAATTTTTTAAATAAATTTTAAAAAAAATTATTTAGTTAAAAATTTTAAAAAAAAGTTTTGAGTTGTATTTTGAGTTTTGAATTGTATTTTGAAATTTTTTGAATTTATTTTTAAAAATATTTTCTTAATTTTTTTTAGGGTATATGTTTTTATTGTAAATATTTATTTATTTTTTTAATATACATTGTATTTACTATTTGTGCGCTATATTTTTTTTAAATATTTTAAAATTTTAAAATTTAAATTTTTTATTTTAAATATATAGTTTTTATGTTAAATATTTTTTTAATTTTTTAATATTAAATATTTTAAATTTATTTTTTTACATGTTTTTAAATTCTAAATTTTTTTAGATCATCCATATATATCTAGGCCAATACTTACAAAAATAACAAGATATTTTTTCAAAAAAATAAAAAATATATAAAATATTTTTCTTCAACAATAAAAATGAAAAAAAATTCAAAAAAAATAAAATACAAAATAATTTTAAAGAACAAAAAATATTTTAAAATAGAGTTTTAAAAAGAGTTTAGTTATGAGTTTTGAAAATAATTTTTAAATTGAGTTTTGAATTGTATATTTGGTTATGAATTTTAAATTTTTTTTATTCAAATCACAAATTTAGAACAAAACCAAACGCTATGTTTATTTATTTATTATAAATGAAAGATGACAAGGAGACATTTTATTATAATACAACAAAATGCAATGGATACACAAGTCGACAAAAGTGAAAATTTTTGCATAATTATGTAAAAAAAATTGTTTGCATAATATTACTCGAATGCAATGGATACACAAGTCGAATTTTAAATCAGTCTCTTATCCTTCTATTTCAAACTATTTGTATATTATGGTGCCATTTGAGAACAAAAGAGAAAAAAAAAAAAAAAATTGTGTTTTGCAGCTTAGGTCAAAAAAAGTCAAATGACTTTTTTGGCCATCAAATCATTTGGAAATATAGTTAAAAATTACTTATGAAATCACAGTTATATTATTTAAATGAGTTAGGTAACAGTGATTTTTTTCTAAAATGAATGAGATATTTTGATCATTTGATTATGATGTGACAACATAAGTAAATATTAAATAAGAAAATCATACAACAATTTTTACCAACTTTTGTAAATAACTTTCTGAAAAAATCAAAAAAAATTATTTAAAAATTAAAAGTCAACTTTTAACAATTTTTTCAAAATACCCCTATGTGATAAGTCTTTTATTCTCATATATAAAAATAAAGGAATCATATTCTTATTTAGGCTTAGTTTGGGAAGACTAAATAAGTGTATTTTTTGATTTTTTATGAAATATAGGTTGAGTTTGGGTTGGATTTGAAGTGATGTGTTATAGATGTGGTGTGACTTAAATAAGATGATGTGACTTAAATAGGATAGTAACTTTTTGACTTTTTATCTTTTTTCAATCTTCCCAAATTAGGCCTTAGTTAGTGAACGCAAAACTTTCACATTTTCACTTTGTTCCAAATCTTGAAATCATAGAAACCCATAATCACATTTCTTTATTCTCTCTCACAAAATTCTTGTCAAGTGATTGCATGAAATTATTTTCAATATAAGGCATCCACACACAAGTCCCTACCAAAAAAGACCAAATTAAAGGTTCCTTATAGTCATCTCTCTGGGCTATTCGCTGCTTGCCTTCTTCCCATTTTCTTGGTTATATAAAAGCTTTCAGAGTGTTCATCATGGTGACAACACATTCTTATAGTAATAAGAGGCAAAAGGCAAGCCTCTTTATTACAATCAGTTTCCTGGCAACTTTCTTTCAATTCTTGCAACCTCAATTGGTGTCTTCTGCATCAGCAGCAGCACCATTTACCAAAGGTAAAATGGTGACAGTGTTGAGCATCGATGGAGGCGGTGTCAGAGGCATCATTCCAGGCACCCTTCTCGCCTCCCTCGAATCAAAGCTTCAGGTTCTTCTTCTTCTTCATCCTCATGAAACTCTGCTTTCACTTTCTTTCCTTTATTTTATTTTTTATTTTTTTCTTCTTTTTTTAGTTTGCCTTACAATTGAACTTTATTGTATATCTGTGTGTTTTTGCCATGTATAGCAACTGGATGGACCCAATGCAAGAATTGCAGACTATTTTGATGCGGTGGCCGGGACGAGCACCGGTGGGCTGGTGACCATCATGATTACAGCTCCGAATAAAGAGAATCGTCCTTTGTATGCTGCCAAGGATATCAACAAGTTCTACTTGGAGAACTCCCCCAAGATCTTCCCTCAAAGCAGGTGAGCTGTGTTACCTGGATTTGTTTTTTTAAATGTGAGAAGCATGATTGTCGGATGAACAATACTATAATACCCTATTTAGAAATGTTAGTGTGGCTCATATTCATTTTAGGCAATTTTTTTGACAATTTGTTTTAGTGGTGTCAAATATTTGAATCCTAAAATAAAGGTATAAGATATGTGTTTGACATATTTATCAAGGCTTTAATTAAGTATATCTAGTAATTGAGTTTATTAGTAAATTCAAAAACATAAAATATATCCAAGATTTTATAAAAAGAATTATTGATGAGCACCAAGGATCCTCTAGAGTATTTTTTTCCTAAAATTTTCTAAAGTGGTGCATGTGGTTGAAATTTAATGTTGAAAAATTGATGTGACTTGTCATTAAATCTCAACCACACAATGCACCACTCTAGAAAACTTTAGGAAAAAAAATACTTTAGAGGATCCTTGCTCATTGATGAGACCCACTTTCTTAAAATCCTATCCATCCATAAATTTCATATATATATATATATATATATATATATTATGTGTCTAATTAAGTAACCAATTTCTATATTTTCAAACTTATTTTTTTAGTTTGTGTAGCATACAAATCTCACATTATGCATAAAAACTTTTATGTATGTTAATAAACACATTTTTACAATTAAAAAAAAATAAAAAATCTAATGCTTAAAAATTCAATAAAGTCAATGTATGAGCATTCTACGCTCGACACACATTTAAATTTGTAAAAGTCCATTTTTTAACATGACTTCAATTATATTCTCCAGAGTTGCAAGCATTGAAAAATGGGTAATACAAAATGTATAGAAAATATTTCATGCCATAACATTGATTACCATTCATAAGGTTGTGTATAGATGTGTTTTTACGGATGAATCACTAATGAGTGTTTCTTGATCATCAGCCGCAACAATTTCATAAAGAAGTTCTCAAGCTGGTTTGGCTCAGTCACAGGGCCAAAGTATGATGGGAAGTACCTGAGATCATTAGTGAGGGATTCACTAGGCAATGTCACCATCAAACAAACCCTAACTGATGTAATCATACCGGCTTTCGACATCAAACGCCTTCAACCAATAATCTTCTCTAGCGATAATGTAAGAACCTAAAAACTGAGAAAATTAAGCATTTAAAAAAAAATAAATTATTTAAGCTATAATGTGAAAGCTATATTGTCTAATAATTTAAACTATTGCGCAGGCAAAAGAAAATGCTTCAAAGAACGCTCTGTTATCAGATATTTGCATAGGCACTTCTGCAGCTCCCACATTTTTCCCAGCACACTACTTTGAGACTAAGTATGGCGATGGAACGACACGTAGTTTCAATCTCATCGATGGCGGTGTGGCTGCAAATAATCCTGTGAGTTACTAATTTGATGAATTTGAGGTTGCCCTTTTTATGACGTTTAATGTTCTGCAAATTAAGTATTCTACAACCAAATGGTGACAACATACAGACTCTAGTGGCCATGAGCCACATTTCCAAACAAATCTTATTGGGAAAATTCAAGTTTGTGGACATTAGACCCATGGAGAGCAACAGGATGTTAGTCATATCACTCGGCACCGGGGCAGCCAAGCAAGCAGAGAAGTACAGTGCAGCCACAGCCTCCAAATGGGGTCTGCTCAACTGGGTATACGACAACGGTGCCACACCATTGTTTGATGTGTACGGCGATGCAAGCTCTGATATGGTCGACATTCATGTCTCCACTCTCTTCCAAGCCCTCCATTCCGAGAAGAACTACCTTCGTATTCAGGTATAAACAATAAAAAAAAAAAACTTTGTCGATTACACAATTTTTCTAAAAATATTTCATAACCTGTTGACTGGCATATGCTAACAATTCTTGGTGGTGGGTGGCCAGGATGACACATTAACGGGTGATGCATCATCGGTTGATATTGCGACGAAGGAGAATATGGAAAGGCTTGTGGAGATTGGAGAAGCGCTGTTGAAAAAACCAGTGTCGAGGGTGAATTTGGAGACAGGCAAGTTTGAGACAGTGCAGGGAGAAGGTACTAATGAGGATGCTCTTGGCCGCTTCGCTAAGCTGCTCTCTGATGAAAAGAAGAACCGGAAAAGAAACTAAAAATTCCAGTTTGAGAAAAAGACTACGCAATAATGTATTATGTAGGATGATACAGAGCTAAGAATGATTGTAATCTTTTACAAAAATAATGAGTACAACTCAATAATTGTGTCATATTTGTTGTGTGTATATATATTATGAGACCAAAAAAGTTCATGTCGACGTATTTACTATGCATCCGGCTAAAGGACGATAAATATATAATATGTATTATTTATATATGTAGGGTATTGGTATTTAAATAACTAAAATGTAAATAAAAACTAAAAAAAAGACTAGCGGCAGACTTGCATGTATTAAAATGGAAAGGAAAATATTAGGGACACTCACAAATCTTGTGTAAGCAGACAGATTAAGGGAAAACCAAATAATAGTTAAAAAGATCATCAAGAACTAACAACAAAAAATTAGTCAAGAAAAAGAATCCATCCATTTTTGTTCGAAATCAAAACTTTTCTTGTACAAGATTGTTTCAATGATTCAAATGTAGTCATCAAATCTTACAAATAATTTCAGCTTGCAATGAAGTATGCTACAACTAGCTTTACATGACAAATAAAAAAAGGTCTCAGACAAAATTTGGTTCAAGCTTTGGGTCTCTCAAGAAGATCTGGAAACCTTTCATTGCTCTCCAACAAAACCTGTATAATTAAACTACAGGGAAAAAAGAAAAGAAAAAAGAAAAAAATTTATCAGATAGATAACAATTCCCCAAAGGAATATCAAGTGTAAACATGGATCATCGAGTGGTTTCTTATTTGCAAATTTGCTATCATTTAAACTAACAAATAGGCAAAGAGTTGCTCAAGCCAACCCACCTTCCTGAATAAACTCTCTGAAATAATATCTATTCACTGAAGTGTTGACACATGGCAAACAATTTCAAAAGGTTTTATAACTTCGGTTAGGTAATGAATTAAAGCCTTCTTTCCATGGGTGACATCAGTCGGCCCACTCATTCAGATAACTTAGCATTTTCAAATATATATATATATATAAATATCAACTTGGACCACGCTGTTGTCAATAAATAGTTGTGGTACACAAGAACCTAACAGTAAACAGCGCTGCTGCAGACCTCTAATTAGCGGTGCAGCCGTACAGCTCTAGTGAGCTGTCAAGCAATAAAAAAAAAAAAAAAACAAACAAACAAACAAACAGTGAAGTAAAAGACAAAAGAAGGGGAAGAAAAAGACAAATTAGAGCTCCATTAGTGGTCTTTTTTTAGAGGTCTGAATCATTTTTCAACAGTAAATAACCTAATTGTCAGAGGGTCTTGATCCCAGCATACCTGAGGCCTCCTAAAGCCAATCAAAGACTGCACGTACATAAAAGCCTGAACCAGAGACCGTATGACCTAGCAAGTGTACCTGAAGATTGAGAATCAAACTATTCATACCAGAGCAGCCTGCAGTTAAGAACACAAATGGAGTAGCAACATTGATTTCTTATGACAATTAAGCAATGCTCACTGAAAGGTATCCAACAAACCATGCAAGTACCTGAACTCTATTGAAACATTCTTGAGTAAGCCTTTTTCTCCTGATCACGTCTACCAGCAATCTGTAGACAATTTTTGAACTTTCAAATCGCACTCAATAAACTAAAATTAAAAAAAAAAAAATTATAAAAATTTGAAACAAATGATTGGAACATGAGAAAAATTGGAACATCAAATGAAGCCACTGACCTTCTTCTTTGCAGCAGCAAGCTCTTTCTTTATAACACCTGAAAAATAGAATCATAAAGCAAGGACTTGATCTTTCATAGCCCAAGTAGCAACATTGGAGCAGTTGCTCAAAAACTCTCGCCAAGAATAAATATGTATACATGTTTTTTTTCTTTTTGGTAATTTTTTGGGGGCCAGTTTCAGTCAGTCTGGGCTTCAAATGCGCTTTTCCCAAGCCCAGCCCTCAATTAAAAATGAGACTAAATTTCTCACAAGCCTGGCCCCCACAGATCAATATGTGATCCCAAGGTGTCTGTGACTTTCGAAATACAAAATTGGAAGTTTGAGGCTTTTTATAGTTTGCCATTTGTGAAGGAAATGAAAAGCAAATGCAAACAAGAAAGGTTACAAAGGAAAACAGTGTGCAAAAGAAAAAAACAGCAAAAGTGACATTGTTTAAGTTAGGTGCCATCTTTCCTTCTCTTTCTCTTGATCTTAGAACATTTCTTAGAATAGCCTATGATCATGCAATCTTTCAACATCACATCCCAAAAGCTATGCATGAGGCACAACTAATTTGAATCTCTGATCCATATTTTACACAATTTAGGCAATCTAAACCTTAAGCCAGTAAACCAAACTTGTCCCCAATATATCGATTCCATATTACATTACCATCATTTGGCTCCAACTCCAATGCTCTCCCGAAACTTTCAACCGCACCATCTACATCATTAAGTGCCATGAATGCCTGATACATTAGCAGAAACAGAGTCATTATGCATAAAAAATAACTTGAAGACACAATTATAAGAAATTTCCATCAGATGCAAGCAAAAAAGAGGTAATATATACTTCCTTTTATTCCCACGAGTAGTGGTAACAACATTTCCATAAACCAAGAGGGTTCCAAAATAAATGAAAAGCTGTGCTCAAATACACTGGCAGACTAGGATTACAGCTGATAAAGAACATATTGAAAGAGGGACTCAATCAGAACATTTATGTGTCTGGTGTGTTTATGTAAGCATCAGAATCATATGACTAGGTTTCATATTTCTTAAATATTTCTTTTATCGTTAGTAAAATGATGTTTACAAACTCAAACACAGCATTTTATGGCTAACATACAAGTCTAATGCATAGTAAACTTGACTACTTAAAGCCCATGGCTATCAAAATCATGATCCAGATCCTACGATCCTAAATTACCAAAACGATCCAAATTCTAAATTACCAAACAATCCAAATCATTGTAAAATCGGTGTTATAGAAGGATCACAAATAGGACCATGTGGGATTATGTAGGATCATAGGTAGGATCACTGAGTTAGTGATTTTTCACCTTATTTTGCAAAGATGATTCCCCGACCCAAACAATGCCAAAGAATCTGAAAGAGAGACTTGCAACTGTTTCTAAGGGGCATTAGCGGAAACTGGAGGTTAGCAAAAAATAAATGTGAATGGATGTCTAGATTAATAAGCAAAATTTTATTCAGGATCGATGCATTTCAACTGGCTTTAAGTAACTTCACGAAGGCTGTTGACATGAGTTGTAATGCTATATCCCCATCTTTTTTTTTTGTTTTTTAAGTTGACTAGTATATTGCTCATATTTAGAACACCAACCTGGCCTTGGCGGAATAAAGCTTTCACATTATCTTCTCCGTCACGCATTGCCAACTCTGTGTCCAACAATGCTCCTTTCAAATCTCCTAATTTCAATTTGCAGGCCTAAAGCAAGCTTGTGGTCAATCATTTGGTAGACAAAAGATAAAACAAGATCTAGAATAGAGAGCGATCACTCAAGAAAGACATGCTAGAAAGCTAAGACCTAACTGTACCTTTTTATGAAAACAGCAAATATGTACAATAAATTTTGTTGTTTTCTATTAAAAACTTCAAGACTAAAACAAGGTAGATTAAACAGAACAAATAACAACAGCCATAAAACACAATAGTTGGCATATGCACTACAGTAAAGTGCTGAATACCCACAATTCCATCATTTGGCAAAAACATAAGCGAAATTGCAGATTCAGCCATGGAGAATAACTTTTAAACTTCTACAACTAAGCTTTTGAGAGTGGACCCAATTGATCAGTTAATCTTCACACAAGATATCTCTGGTGATACTGCCTATTGATAAAAAAAAAAAATGCTATATTAGAGCCGTACCCATCCCGTACCCAAAGTATCTCGCGTACCAAACACGTATTTTGCTTACTCAGTACACGTGCAACCATACAGGTATGCGTACCCATACCAGGTAAGTACCCAAATTCTGAAAAGCGGTTGCGATCGCCGTAACGGTGGCGGTGGCGCAGTTGCGGTTGCGGGGTGTAAAGGCTGTAGCGTAACGGTTGCGGTAATCAGAACCGTGAATTTTTTTATTTTTCGCACAATTTGAAAAAAACTTACAGATACGCATATTTTTTTCCCATGATCATATATAATGGGTTTAAAATAAATATTGATCAATTTTTGTATATTTTTAAGTATAATCTAATATATTTCATATTTTTAAATCACTATAAACTGAGTTTTTTACATTTTATTTTAATAATTAATGACTTTATATTATACAAAAAATCAATCACTAGCTATTATATATAAGACAAACAATGACAAAAGTAAAAAAATAAATAAGAGCCTAAATATATATATATATATACATATTTTAACTAAGCTAAATAGATAATGACCACACCTATTATTATTATTATTATTATTATTATTATTATTATCAAACAATATAGAGATAGACACACACAAACAAAATGGTTGAGTGATAGCAGCTGAATAGAATTGCATAGGTCTTACAGCTTCAACAAATCAATAACATGTTCATCTTCCCTCTTCTCTCTCTCTATCTCTTGCTCCTCCATTTTCTCTCTTTATCTTCCCTCTTCTCCCATTTTTAGCTTTTTTTGTCTTTTTTTTCGAAAGAAACAATTTGGAACCGTTACGTAACAGTGCATAACAGGCCATTACGACTGTTACGGCACCATTATGACTGCTACGGCAGCCGCTACGGCCGACACACCTGTGAATCTCAATCACATTGCAAAAGCGGCCGTAACGGGTGGCGGTAACCACCAAAACCGTTACGTAACGCCGTTACGTAACGGTTGCGGCCGCTTTTTAAAACCTTGTACCCAATACTCGTACATCAATATTTTTCAAGTACCCATGCTTCATAGATTTGAAGCAATAATAAGAGAAGTAAACGCTGGAACTGTTAATTAACCCACAATATATTTTGAAGGACGTTCTAGATAAGAATTAAATACAAACTTGTCAAACCATTACCAAATATTGAATGACGAACACAAGGCCTATAAAATTTAGAATATGATGAAACTCATCGAAAAATATATAATAAAAACAAGGATTATGACATTAGTTCAAACAATGATGAATTTTTATATAGAACATCCTCATATAAAACAAAGTAATAAGTAAAATGAAAACTTACAGAGCTATTTGTAAATATCTGAGACTTTGTCTTCCTCAAGGATGAGCTTTTCTCTGTACAATCACATAAAAAATTTAATAGAACAAAAGAGTAAAAGGCACGTAGCATCGTAACGATTTCTAGTTACTAGAATTACAAAAGAACAGTATCACATGGACAAATTAAACGGCTCACCTTCATCAATGTCTTCCTTCTCCCAGCATACATCCAAGTAGCGCAGAGCCTTACAATACTTCCTAAGAGCCATTTTATAGTCTTGTTTCTGTATATGAAAACAATTAGGACAAGAGCCACTGAGTAGCGAAATATACTATACAAAGCCAATGTTTATGAATCATCACAAAAAAAAAAAAAAAAAAAAAAAAAAAAAACCAACAACAACAACAACAACAACATAAATAATCATATTTACTACAAAAATATAGAACACTTAAATTGTATAGTGCTCTAGTCTTCCAGAAAATAAAAATCCGTGCATCAAAGCAAATGTTTGCGGAAGCCTGTTTTCTATCTTTTTCTTTGTTGGAGGAGCTACCTTATCGAGGGGAGAGATATCAAACATCATATCTAAACAACAGCTACCTTATACTGTTCATTTCCAAAAGCTTTGATTGAGTCTACAGCGGTCATCCACCAGGAAATTTCATCTGGTTTCACATCAAGGTCAATTGGCCAATCAGGGTAAGCATCGCCATCTTTAAAAAAGTTACATACCCCATCATCTGCTCCCTCAAGAATTTCTCCACAATCCACAATTATCACATCAAGAGTGGGATAATCATTGTCGCCAGCATTAATATGCTCAATTGAACGAACCAGCCCCATCCCTTTGATTACCTTGCCAAAAACAACATGCTTTCCATCTAGATGAGAAGTTCGAGTGGTAGATATAAAAAATTGAGATCCATTGGTATTAGGACTTGTATTAGCCATTGACAACATTCCTTTTCTTTCATGCTTCAACTCAAAATTTTCATCTTCAAATTTCAAGCCATAGATGGATTCACCACCAGTGCCATCCCCAGCAGATATGTCTCCACCTTGTATCATAAAGCCTTTAATGATGCGATGAAAACATGATCCCTGCTATGAATACTGAGCTATGATTAGCATTTAGCAGACAGATAGCTCAACAGGACAGATTATTAAATCAATAATGCAGTAGGGTAATTTGCTTCTAGCATAGACCTTAGGGTGAAGATATTATATCAACAATGTCGTAAGGCAATTTGCAACAATTCAAGCTAACTGATTCTTTCAGTTGTAAAGCCAGAAGTTGCTAGACTCGTGAGGCATAACAAATAGATGTTCTCGAGATCAGCAATTTTATACAACACCACGCCATAATCAAATGCCAAATCACCTATTAAGATCTATATCCAAAGACCCCAGTTACATGCACATCTTGGAAGGTGTAGGGGGAGAAGAAGCAGCAGAAGCCAAGAAGCAGGATAATAAACAATGGACTTATTCAAAAGATTTCCACGTCTAAATTCTCATATAAAGAGGGGCTTGGGAAGCCCAAAAATTGATGGATTCAATCCCTTGGCAGAACTTTGGGCTGTCTTCAGTTAGTTACAAACATCATCCTAGTCCAGCTAATACAAGTATACAATCATGATAGAATGCAGAGCCTCACATCATAGATTTTAGTAAGCTTAGAAGTAAAACAACCTTCTTGTCCAACTGAATTCAGACCCATAAGACCACTAAAATGTCTAATTGCCCATCAAATGGAGAAATGAGGTCTTTCAACATTCCTCATCATTTGCAAAGTTGAAGATTTATTGAACTTAAAAAATAAGTTGTGTAAAGGACTATGTACAGCAAAGCATAATGTGGTGTAAGTTTATACATCCCAATTAACAGTAATTAATAAAGTAGCATAAAGAACTGTCGCATTGTTGTCTTGAGTATTCATTTTGAAGGGACTTATATGCTCAATTACATACTCTAACTGCTTCAAGCCCACCTTTTATTAGTCTATTTTGTACCTAATCAAGCCCTCCCACATAACATTCGCCCCTTACCAAGATTTGAGTGACATACTAGCATACATATAGCTTCCAGTGATGAGTGAGCCCTTTTTATCATTGAGACAGCTATAGATAACAGACCCAAATTATTTTTTTTTTTCACAACACTGCTGACTATTCAATTCACAAATCATAACATCAACAACACTTTTTTTTCCCGATATTTCATAACATCAACAACACAACAAATAAATACGTCATTTTCACTGCTGTAAAATATTGCAATCCACTCATTACTAATGGAATCAACATAACTTTATATCAAATGAAACATAGTAACCCAAAAAAATTTCAAACACAAAAAAGAAATCATTGAGAAATGGATGGGACAAAAAGGAAAAGTAAACATGACTAAATGTGTAAATCTATCTTGAAATGATATTGTTGTCACCACCATTCTGACAGTCACATACTATACCTGCACAATGTTTGGGTTGCAAGAAGCTATGATTGATTCTTGAATTAATAACAGAAACATATAATGTACTTCTGTGGCTGTGGCTAACATATGGGCTTCTATGTTGGTTCTTTCTTTGAACCATGACATCGGAAATACATGATCCAATCACAAATTCCTTTGTTTTCAAATTTTAGAACTTGAGTTGAAACAATTTAAACCACATATTTGTTTCATGAGCCAAGCCCGCTGGTCTCTTAATTCCATATGATATCCTCAAAGTTAAATGAAAATAAAAAGAGGTGAACAATGAAAATCAAAACAAAAATGATTTTTTAATAAATAAAGCACAATCTATAAATCGATGGTGAAATTTCCAGTATTTCATATTCCTTTAAAAAATATTTGAATCATACAAATAAAATTTTAAAAAAATAATAAAAAATAGAACAAAGGGGCAAATTTTCAGAGAATGAAAGAGATGGGCCATGGATTGGTTCATAAACCATCAACATCCATGTTATTTTTTTAAGCCATTTTATTTACTCAAAAAATATAGTTAAATTAAATTTGTGTTTATTGTAAGTTGTTCATTAAATTGAAGAATTGCCACCATATGACTGAAGAAAAAAACACATTTAAAAATGTTTTGAGAACATGATGAGAAAAAGATGCATGAAACATTAGACAGTGAACCTTTTATTTTTGTTTTTATGTAGGATATCCTGGGTCAGCTTACGCACACCAGACTAAGTCCCTACAGCCCGAACAAAGCTTCCGAAACAAGGCTTATGCCTTGCGGTCCGTGGCCCCAAGGCATGCGTTTGCTAGCTAGGAAATTTGAACCTGAGACCTAGGAGGGAGCAAACCTCCAGGCTCCAGTTGTCACCCATTAGGCCAACCACCTTGTGGTTCAGACAGTGAGCTTATAAAGAAAGATTCTCATTTTCATATTTTTATTAAAACTTGGCCTACTAACCTTGGGGTTGTGGATTTGAACATAAGGGCAGACATTTTGTGCAAAGAGAGAGTCACATTTTCATATTTTTATTAGGCATTTTGAGTCTAATCTACCCCTCAGACTCCCATCTAATGTGGACTAAATCGGGTGTGCTTTTTTATTCTGAGTCAGCTAATTTCACACAAATAGTTTTCCTCCCTTTTCAATGCTTCTCTCAAATCCACTAGATGAAAATAAAATTTGTTAAAAAGAGTCCCTATATTTTTCTTGGGTGAATTCATGGAAAGAAGAAACACCATTCTGCTCAATAACTGAACCTTAGGGAGGAAAAACATTTGTCCTGAATTATACAATGACAACCTAAACAGGTGTCCCATTTCTATGATTCTTCAATCTCATCAAATTATTTTTAAAAATAAATTTAGCTATGCATTTCGAGTATATATCATGCTTCAGATTTCATTGAAAATAATAATTCAATTTTTTTAATAATCAAATGATTTATAGATATATACTTGATTAGAATGTATAGAGATAGTTATGTTAGGGACCCACACACGTGAGTTTGTATGGGTCCCACACCCATGTGAGAGGTTTGGTAGATTATTTGGGATCCATAGCATTTTCCATACATATATGTATCAATCTATGAACACTTTATTAAATACACAGTTAATGATATGTTTTGATCATTATGATGATGTAAATAATCATGCCCAGTTTTGAAAAGCTTATTGATTTCAATTGGAAGACATAAGCCAAAAATCCAAACAAGCAAAACTGTTGTCACTTTATCCCTTCAACTAAAAATTGCTACATCTTGCCACTCAATCTTTTGATTTGTTTCAATCTCAACTTTCTGTTAACATTGTGCTATGAAAAAGCATAGATTAGTGACATATGAATTGAATATGCCAATTTTACGGGAGAAAAAAAAATTTGTGGTTTATATATACATAAATGTAAGTGATATGTATATGGTTTCTCATTTAGTTTAAAAATTGACATGTGCATATATTTTCTCATATATTTTGAGGATATACACATATCCCTCACATAAATCAATTCTTAAATGAGCATTTTGGTCAAAAAAATTAGTAAGGGCAGCTTACATGCCCATTTTTTTTTAATAGAATGTTGAGATTGAAACAAATCAAAATAAATAGCAATTTTTAGTTGAGGGAGGCAAAGTGATAATATCTCAACTATAAGGTAAAGTGTAATTTGACCATTTTAGTATATTCAATAATTGAAGATACAGAAGAATATTTATAAAAAAATAAAATAAATAGTTCATTTGAGGGTTATAAAACTTCCAAAATAGTAAGGCTATGGTTTGTTTGTTTTGTTTTATTGGTGAAATGTGTATCATGAAGTCGATGTGACTATTTTTCTTTCTTTTATTTTCTTCATTTTATCAGTGACTTCGTATACAGAATTATTCATCCACCCATTTTATCAGTGACTTTAGAGCCAAAAAAAACAAACATGAGCAACAAAGCAAGAATAGGAGCAGCTAAACGACCCATTATGACTCAATAAAAACAGGTAAACAAACATAAACAAATATATACATAAATACATTACACGCATATATATACATATACATAGACAGACACACACACACACTGAGGACCTTGAAATGGAGGGGAACACCGGTGTTAGGGCCAATGCCCTTCTCGCCGGTACAGAGAGCCCTGAAGTTCTCGGCGGTTTTGGGCACAACATCTTTGTAGAGCTCCACCACTATCCTCCCTTCCACCTCTCCTCCAATGCTTATATCCATGAAGCACCTCGGGTTCGCCATTCTCTCTCTCTCTAGATTGAATTGAAGCACAAAACAGAGAAACAGAGAGAGAAACCCTAAACCCCGCTATTTATTTTGAACTCAAGAGAAAAGCCAAGGCGCTATGGTTGATGATGCTTATTTGAGAGGCGGTGAAGAGTCGATTATTTTATTTTCAAAAATGGCATAGGAATAAAAAATTTTTACTAAATGTCTCACATGATGATGATGATGATGGACTCATCTGGACCAGTTTATGTGAGATATTTAGTAAAAATTTTAGTAGAATATTTAGAATTTTTAACATTATATTTTTATTTTTTGAGAGTTTGGATCGACTGCCGCTAAGTTGTAGCTATTCCGCGGGGATGGGAACCGTTGGATTGGTTTCGGGATGTGAAAGGAGTGATTTCGAGGGTACTGAACCAATAGAAATGTGACAACAAAGAGGAGAGACTGAGCGTGGAGTCATAGATATCCGCCAGCTGGCATATGATTATGATATGTATAGGTTTAGGTTTCAGACTTTCAGGACCATATCATGTGTAACCAATGTCTGCTTTACCTTAGTTGTACGCATGCGAACTTTTTTAATTAATAGATAGTAAGACAAAATCTGATTATGATAGGTATTGGTTTATGTAGTGTTTTAGAAAGTTGATAAAAAATTAATTTTATTTTGATTTTTTTGTATTAAAAAAAGAGAGAGTAAAAAAGTGATATGATTTAAAAAAATTAAAATGCTAAAAAGTTGATTTTTTTACTATGATGCCAAAACATTCTTAAATATATTTTTGGCCTTGTTTGGCAAAGGTTAGAATAGTTAATTTTAGGCTAATATTTATAAAAAGACAAAATAAGTTAAAATAGATAGTAAGACAAAATATCACATCAAATTTATAATCATTTCACTTTTTCTCTCATAAACATCACATCCAACTATAAAAAAATTCAACCATCTTTCCAAATACAAAAATTTTAGCCTATTAAAATAACCAAAAACTAAAATAGTCTACTAAAATAACCAACTTCCCAAACAAGGCCTTTGAAATTTTAAAATAGAGTAAATTATACTTTTCAACTCTTTTTAAGGTAAAATGTGGCCATAATATTTAGATTTAATTCTGAACATGTCATGTTGAAAATAAATCTTAATAAAATCGTTGTTAAAAATAATTTTTTATGCTGATTTTTTACATGTCGTTAAAAATTGATAATTAGTGATTTTTTTTATCTCGATTTTTATAAATTGTCGCTAAAATTTATAATTAGTGACGTTTTTCTGTTATGAATTTTTCAAATTGTCATTGAAAGTTGAAACTTAGTGACTTTTTTTATAACTGTTTTTTTAAGTTGTCACTAAAACTTATAATTAGTAGTATTTTTGTGACAAAATTTTCAAATTGTAATTGAAAATTAACAATTTATGACTTTTTTTAATAGTGTTTGATAAAAAATATCATTAATTCTCAAATGACCTATTAGATAATATCCACCTATTATAATTTACACATAAGTCCCCTTCTTTTTATTTAAATTTCACTTTAGTTTTTATAATTTTAATGGATAAATTACATTAAATTCTTTTAAGAATAATGCTTGGGACCCCCTTTTGGGGGGTCACCCCCTCACCCCCCCTTGCCACGTGGCAGGAGGTGATTGGAGGAGCAGGAAAAAAAAGAAAAAGAAAAAGAAAAGATAACCAATGAGAGAGAGAGGGGGTCAAAGGGAGTAGGGGAAAAAGGGGGATGAATCATTACTCTTCTTTTAAATTATAACTCATTTACATTTTACCTTAACTTCAAAACTCAATAGTTAACTTCTAAAAGTATTATTTTATTATAGCTAACGCTTTCTGTTATAATTCTATTAACAATTTACAAAAAATTATATTATGTGTAAAGTACATGATACATTTATTGAAGTTTTAGAACAATAATAGAGTAATAATAATCTTATCTAGTAATTTCATTTGCACTTTATTTTCCTTATTTTTAGTGGTAAAGTACCAACATGATCATGAAATACAGAATTATTATCATAAAAATTTAATAAATGTGTCATATGCTTTACATTTGATATGATTTTTCGTAAATTCTTGACAAAATCCTAATACAAAAGGTTAACTGTAATAAAACAGTAATTTAAAAGTATTAACCATTGAGTTTTGAAATTCATGAGACAATTAACCATTGAGTTTTGAAATTCATGAGACAAAATATAAATGGATCATAGTATAAAGAGATTTACTATAATTTATCATAATTTTAATCTGAGCAATTTAATACTTACACTTTATATCTATTTTTTGATTTGGTATTTTTGTTCAAGTTAAAAGTTGAAATAAATAATTTTGGGGTCGCTTCAGATGTACAAGTCTAAAAAATTAACAAAAATTTGAAATGAAACAATTAAATTAAAATTAGATGTGAAGTATAAAGAGTAAATTGTTCAAATTTAAACTATAAGAACAAAAGTGAACTCTCGGCCAAATTATATGGGAAAAAAGTGTAATTTACCTTAAAAGTATATATACAAATATGAATTGAAGTTTGGATGAATTTTGAGAACTTGTTTTATTAATTTTTAAAAAATAATAATACTATAAATTTGACAAAATTAAGTAATAAAATTATAAGAACTATTGGTGTAGTTGATTTTTATTTTTTATTTTTTAGTATCTCATTTTGTCCATGCAAAACAAACACAGGAGAAGCATGACCATTTTTAATATAAGTTTGACAGATGTTATGATTGGACCGAATAGAAAAAAAAAATATATATATATATACATATATAATTAAAGGATATAGTTATTATAATTAAAATTATAGAAAGGTAAGCTATATGGACTACTGCTATAATTTATCTTTTTTTCTATTTCTTATTGCAACTCTGGCAAAGAAAGAAAAATGAAAATACTTCAATGCCTCCCAAACTAAAAGAATTCTACAGGAGTAGAAAAGTATTTTCTGTCATATTTTCCCTATTTTACTTGGCAATTACTTTTTTGTAACTAGTGAATTGTTTATTTTTATCAGTTGATCTACAACTAATTTCAATTGACTCAATCACAAATCCAACTCAAATAGTTTGGTTCTGTAATATAGTTTTATAGTGAGCATAAATTCATCGAGTTCAAATCCAGCTCATAAGATCAAGAAGTTTTAATATATGGTCAAATTTAACTAGTTTTCATAAAGAATTTTGGATAATTACATTTGTGTGGTGTGGCATTTCGTCTTTGTTTTGTTTTTATTGTTGTCAAATGTATTCAAATTATAATAAGATTCACTTATAAAATGAACCGATGACTCATTTGTGTGCGTTATTTTCTAAATGGATATGGTGATTTCATTATACTTAGATGTTGTTTGTCTGGATGGATTAGAGGGTGAGATATGATTTAAATACGTTATTTGGTTTTTTAATTTTCTCCGGACTATTAGTTCCAAATGTGTTGGACTATTTTGTCTCACGGGATTTTTTAATTTTCTCCGGATTATTAGTTCCAAATGTGTTGGACTATTTTGTCTCACGGGGGGGGAGGGGACACAAATGGAGGGATAAGGCGGGATATGGGATTAGGCGGTGAAATAACCATTTTTGACCCTTTACTATTTAATTATATATTATGTTTGGTAAAATTCAATAAAATTTAAATGTCTCAATTTAAAAATAAAATAATTTTATTTAATTTTTATTGATGTTTTATTTATTTAATTTTTTAAAATAATTTTTTATAGATATTTTATTTTAAAATTTTGTTTATATCTTATTTAATTTCATTATTTAAATTTTAGTAGATGTTTCATTTAATTATTATTATTTTTTAAAATAAATTTATTTTAAATTTTAATTAAAAAAATAACATATATTTTTATTGATATTTTATTTATTTAATTTATTTAACTTTTAAAAAATAAATTTTTTTAATTGTGTAAAAAATAAAACAAAATAAATTTTTATGTAATCTAGCTAAAAATAATTAAAATATTAAAGATATGTTCAATATTACTATTACTTAGTAAATAATTGAAAACGGTAAAATAGTCATTTGAGTATTTATCTTTCTCCATAATATCACAAACGATTCATATCATATCCAACCAAATAGTCATTTTTTGATAATTAGTTCCATGACTAAACAAATATGGGATACATATCCTATCAAACCAAATAGTTCCAGGACTATGAATTCCAGAACCCTTATCCAGTCCGTCTAAACAAACACGCCTTTTATGGTTTAATTTGTAGGATAAATATAAATTCAACCAGTGTAATCCATTGTGTATTGAACAAAACAACCCATCTTAGTAATCTACTAATGACTGTTTTGATAATAGGTTTAAAGTTAGTAAAATAAGTAAATAAATAAACCGTCCCGATTTAGAATACTAAATTGGAAGTTCTAAAATGACCACTAATGAGGTGGCAGTGTAAAGAAAAAAAAAATCAAAAAAAACAAAGGCCAAGCTATCACATCAGTGGTGGGGTTCACATGATGCCATATCATTAGTAATGCATTAGTGGTGTTAAATTAGTGGTATGAAACATTTTTCATAAATAAATCACTACAAAAAAGTCAAGTATTATTTTTATTTTTTTTTACATCTTTTCGTATAAAAAAATTAAAATAATCAACTCTCAAAATAATTCTAGAGTACTTTAAGCCATATATTTGATGAAAAAAATGAGATTACTATTTGATATGTCACAATGTAAATGGTATATATATATAATTGATATCATTAGATAATTTTAATCGTATGGGTTTGTATAAAACGATTTCATGCTCCCAATATTCAAATTTTTTTTGTTTTTTGTTTTTCAAAGAATCAAATGATTAAAGCATTTTATTCAAACCTCGTTTGGGAACAGGCTAATTTAGTAACTTTTTGATTATTTAATTAAAAAGGTAGGTAAAAAAACTTGAATGTTTGGGATGACTTTTTGGCTAATTACGAAAAGATGTACAAAAAGTAGAGAGAAAAGAGAATCATTGACTTTTTGGTATGAGTTGTTGACCTTTTGGCTAATTTAGTAACTTTTTGACTAATTAGTTAAAAAAGTAAGTCTCCAAACGGGGCATAGTATTTAGTAGGTAAACTCTATATAATAGTAGGTCATGTCTTTCAAACTATAAAAATATATGAAAA